ACTCTTCCCTCGGTTTTTGGGGTGCACAATTCCCGGGTACACCTTCCCAAGGGTCCCAGAAATGCTCTCCCCACTCTTCCCTCGGTTTTTGGGGTTCACAATTCCCGGGTACACCTTCCCAGAGGTCCCAGCCTTGCTCTCCCCACTCTTCCCTCAGTTTTTGGGGTTCACAATTCCTGGGGATTCCATAAATGCTCTCCCCCATTTTTCCCTTCATTTTTGGGATACACAATTCCCGGGGGTCCCAGCCTTGCTCTCCCCACCCTTCCATTCATTTTTGGGGTTCACAATTTCGGGGTACACCTTCCCAGAGGTCCCAGCCATGCTCTCCCCACCCTTCCCTCGGTTTTTGGGGTACACAATTCCCGGGGGTCCCAGCCATGCTCTCCCCACTCTTCCCTCGGTTTTTGGGGTTCACAATTCCCGGGGGTCAGGGCCTGGTTTTCACTGGAAAAATGTTGGGGTTTGGGCTTTTTTTTGTTGTTGTTTTGTTTTTTGTTTTTTTTTTTTTTTTTAGAATTAAAAGAAAAGTTGTAAAATTTGGGTTTTATGGGAAAAAAAAGCTGTCCATGTCTTTATCCTGGTGAGCGTGGGCTCCATCCCGGTGAAGGGGCTGGTGGGGTCAGTCCTGATCCCAGGGAAGGATTTTTTGGGGTCCATCCCGGGTGGGTTGATGCCCATGTTGTGTGTGGGGTTTGTTCCCACCCCGGTGTGTGGGGTCAATCCCGACCCCAGGGAAGGATTTTTTGGGGTCCATCCTGATCCCAAGGAAGGATTTTTTGGGGTCCCTGTTTCCCGAGATGGGGTCCCTGATTTAAGACACCCTGCTTTAGGATACAGGACCTCTCCTAGGACACGGCACCTCTGTTCCCACACCACAGGGAATTTCTTCTACCTTGCTGAGACCCCACTCCCCGTTACCCCCAAACACCCCAAACCCCACTCCCCATTTCTTCCAAACATCCCCAAAACCCTACTGCCCATTGCCCCCAAACCCCTCTCCCCATTTTCCCCCAAGCCCCACTCCCCATTTCCGCCCAAACACCCCAAACCCACTCCCCATTTTCCCAAACCCACTCCCCATTTTCCCCCAAGCACCCCCAAACCCCTCTACCCATTTGTCCCCAAACCCCACTCCCCATTTCCCCCAAACATCCCCAAACCACACTCCCCATTAACCCCATTTCCCCCAAACCCCACTCCCCATTTCCCCCAAACCCCACTCCCCATTTTCTCCCAAAAAGCCCAAAACCCCACTCCCCATTTCCCCCAAACCCCACTCCCCATTTCCCCCAAACCCACTCCCCATTTTTTCCAAACATCCCCAAACCCCACTCCCGATTTCCCCCAAACCCACTCCCCATTAACCCCAAACATCCCCAAACCCCACTCCCCATTTTCCCCCAAACCCACTCCCCATTTTCCCCCAAACACCCCAAACCACACTCCCCATTAACCCCAAACATCCCCAAACCCCTCTCTGCATTTTCCCCCTAACACCCCAAAAACCCCCTCCCCATTTCCCCCAAACCCACTCCCCATTCCCCCCCATTCCCCATTCCAGCCGCAGCCGGGGACACGGAAACAGCCGCAGCAGGACCCGCAGGGCTGATTTTATTTCTGCTCCAAACACCCCCAAACCACACCCAGCCCCGCAGCACCCCGGGGTCCCCCCAATTCCCAACCCCACCGTCCCGGGCGCTAATTCCGGACGGGCACGGCGCCCCGCAGGACCCGCAGGACTGATTTTATTTCTGCTCCAAACACCCCCAAACCACCCCCAGCCCCGCAGCACCCCGGGGTCCCCCCCATTCCCAACCCCACCCTCCCGTGCACTAACTCCGGATGGGCACGGCGCCCCGCAGCCTCCGCAGGACCCGCAGGGCTGATTTTATTTCTGCTCCCCGCACCTCCAAACCACACCCAGCCCCGCAGCACCCCGGGGTCCCTCCAATTCCCAACCCCACCCTCCCATGCGCTAGCTGCGGACGGGCACGGCGCCCCGCAGGAGCCCCGGGGCTGATTTTATTTCTGCTCCCCGCACCCCCAGCCCCGCAGCACCCCGGGGTCCCCCCAATTCCCAACCCCACCCTCCCGTGCACTAACTCCGGACGGGCACGGCGCCCC